TTCGTTCTCAATGCTCTTGCAGGAGATTTGGCAGGGATCTGCATTTTAAAAAGATATTTAATGACATTGATAACCAAACAAAAAAAAAAACAGATATAAAAACAAACCTCATGACTCATAAAACATATAGAAATAATGATATAGTAAAAAGAAAAAAAAATAATGAAACCTCGATTGTTGTCTCAACGTTAACATCAGCTTGCTTCTGAAATGGCTACAGACATATACCCAAAATCATTAAAAAAAAGTGTTAATTTTAATATAATTGTTATCATAAATGTGATATAGACAATAAAAACTATAATAAAAAATAAAGACCGTCTCTTTTTCAGTTGATGTGTGAATACTATCATCGGGCATTCCACTTCCACCACGGACTCCGCTCGTGTTACATTTGTCGCTGTGTTGTTCTTTACTTGAACCACCCTAATTTATAATGTTAATGTGAAGAGATTACAATAGATACTTTCATTAACAAATAAACATAACCACACAAAACAAAATGAATATATATATATATATATATGTATAAATGAACATATTGTATAAAAAAATGAACATATTATATATATAAACAAAATGTACAATAGATACTTTCATTAACAAATAAACATAACCACACAAAACAAAATTAATATATATATACAATGTATATATGCTCTGTGCAAAAATGACATTACATGTTATACTGCATATATACCATATATATACCACATATGTACCATAGAAACAAAATATGTATCCCTGTGCAAAATTATCATATCTGTGCAATAGAAACAAAAATATGTATCCCTTATAATATAGTATGCATGAATACCAAGTTCACTAAACATAAAAGGCTATGAATATCCAGTATGTTTATACCCTGTGCAATTGTACCACATATACCATACATATATATGTTTATACCACATATATACCCTGTTTTTTTATATGTTTATACCACATATATAAACAAAAGAAAAATTGTGCATATGTTTAACCGCATATATATGATACATACATATGTTCATACCCTGTGCAAAAAAAAACATAAACAATGCATATGTTTATACCACATATATACCATATATATACCACATGAACAAATGTATACCATATGTTTATACCCTGTGCAAACTTATATATTCCATATATATACCCTGTGCAAACTTAAAATTTATTCGCAGAAAAAGAAATCAATAAACAAAGTAATTTTAACTTATATATAACATATATATACCCTGTGCAAAAACTTAAGTACATATCTATACCACATATATACCATATATATACCACAACGAACAAATATATATCCCTATGCAAATTTATAATATATATACCACAAAATCTGTGGCTAATAACAAATAAATATGGACATCTCTTCAGGTTTTACAAACCATAATAGTATGACAAACATAAATTCAAATAAAATGTGGTTTATGTGACCACTAAATATAGTATACATACAGACCAGGTTCACTCAGATAAAAGGAATAAATATCAACAAGTACTTACAAGGAATTTTTCTTTAAACAAGTCAAACTCGGCAAAAACACGTTTCGAGAAATCGAAGAAGGCTTGCTTCAAGTTCTCCAGTTCAGCAGTTATTGAGTCGAGACCGGTTATAACGTCCACATCATTGGCATGATTGGTATGCTGTGTTGTGGGACTTGATGGGGTCTCATTTCGAATGAACTCATTTTTTTTTTTCTGAAGAATGAGTCCACTGAAAGAGCTTGTTTCTCCACCTCAGTGGGAACAATGTTGTTAAACTGTGCAACAAAAAAAAAAAAATATATGGTTATAAGTACCCCGAACTTCCCCACTTGATTACAAAAATACGATTAAAAAAGCTATCGATACGGAAATATAAAAATAAGATAATATAATTTATTACCTTGGAGTGTTTCAGATTTAAGAAGGTCCTCTCCATCAAAATATGGCTATAAGTACCCCGAACTTCCCACTTGTTCATCCTTGGAATATCGTTTTCACCAACATATGTGCAAACTACACCTTCAGCGGTGTCGCACACCTTATAGAACCATGTCTGGAGAGCCAATATAAGACCATAACACCTATACAGGTTAGATCTATCGGTCTTGAATATGTGCATTTGCTCTCTCGTCTGAATTGATTTCTTCAGATACAAAAGAGTAAAATCAAATACTTCTCTTCCCCAGGCGAGATCATCGCACTCCGCACTATCAATCAGGTCAACATAACATCGGTCTATGCAAAGATTCTCTTGAGAGCCCATCAGGAAATTCGCTAGTAGATGTAATTTGGCCAGTTTAACTGCATCTTCATCACACGACCATGATTTCTTGATAAACTGCCACCTGATGTGGTTCCGGCGTAATTCGATGCCATCAAAATACTTGTCATGGAGACCATCAGATATCTTGGGAACATTCAATTTTTTTATTGACCCAATGCAGTTCAATCTCGTTATAATAGCAAACTCCTCGATCCCAAATCAGAGTAACTTCCCTCCAAAATCAAACCAGATTTCGTCGCTCCTATCCTGGTGAACCTCACGTAGGAATATACTGTTAATGAGCTGGTTCTGTACAATGCAGTGAGGGAGATCCAAGAACTTCCCAAATGCTGAACGCCTAAAAACTGCCAGTTGCTCCGTCGTAAGCGTCTTCTTGATATCAATGATCGTGGATCCATCTCTGCTATTGTGATTGTTGTTTTGAACCTTCACATTTATATCCAGAGGATGCAGAATGAGCAATTCCCATTCCTGTAAAAAATGGAAAAGGAAAAACATATATATTATGAGGAAAATAGATCAAGGATGTGGGGAAAAACATATATATTATGAGGAAAATAGAACAATATTAACAACAAACAATAATGTACTTGAAGATGCAGTCCACTGAAAGTGAAAATAAACCCTGAAAATGAACTAAATATATAATGAGACACAGGATATCACAAATCTGAAAATAATTGTAGTATTAAAAAATAGTATCATTGATATAAACATTGCATATACTTGAAATGAACTATACTTGCAATTAGAAATATAAAATATCATTGAACTAAAACATGTGTTGTTCAATAAAATCTGTCTCATGTTCTGTGTTAGTAGTTATCAATTGCTTAAGTTAGTAGTTTATGCTGAAAATTTGTAAATGGTTAATGTGATATATTTCAAGGAAGTTGCATGTCAGGTAAAATCTGTCTCATGTTCTGTGTTATGTAACCACAAAACATAATATTTGGCACAGAACATATAATCAAATATAACTAACAAAAACACTGTGATATGCAACCAGAGAACATAATTTTTGACAAGTTAAATAAAACTAAAAAAACAGTCCACACATATAATTGATACACCAAAACACAGTGATATGTACAAGTAAATCAACTTAAATATAACTAACACACATTCCACACATATAAGTGTTGCGCCAAAACAATCAGAAAATAGATCAATGATGTGGGGACCATTGACATGTTGCACAAAACAATCAATAACAGTCCACACACTGAAAATCCTGTGTGTTATCATAAAGCATAAAGCAAATTACCAAATAACATGCTTAAGTCAAAAAAAACGAATAGTGTGGACCATTAACATTTTAATATATACATAATAAAGAAGCTGCCAACATAGTCACAAAAAACTTATACAATTCGAGATTACATTCTAACAAGGCACAATGCACATTGAATAGAATTGAACACGGACAAACAACAATTCTTAAATTAATCATATAAATTACCTTAAGCAATCTCTTTTTTTGAAAATCACGAGGGGGCCTGGGGAAAAAAGTGTAATGCATTCTCCTCTTCTTCAAAATTTTTGCTTCGTCCTTTTCTTTTCTGAGCCTTTTCCTATTTTTTTTCTTCATCGTTTCAACCGGAGAGTCTTCTTCATCGAATTCTTCTTCACTACCATTAATTTCGGGTTGACTTTCATAATAGAAATCAGAGTCTTCTTCGCCCGAAATTTTGTCGGTAGATTTAGGCTTCTCCAATTTACGGGCTCGCCGAACATTTCTCGTTGGATTTGGGTCTGAATGGATATCGTCTAAACCGGGTGATGAATTAGGTTTTTGCATTGTAGACTTGCCTGAAGACTTGCGATTAGGGGTCGTCTTTTTTCCGAAAATCAGCTTTTTCTGAACGAGTTTTGGTTGATTTTTTGGGTGGATTTTACGTAGCCGGGCACTTGATCTAATCGGTGGTGAGTCGTCAGCCACAGTGGTCGAATGTTTTGGATGAGGACGAGGAAGTTTAGTCTTCGCCATTGAAGCTTGAGATGTGGAGATTTTGGGGGAGATTTTTGAGCGTCTTTTGCAGAGATGGGGCGGTGCGGGGGTTTTGGTTGGAGTAGAAATCCTTTTTTTTTTCCTATTTTTTAGGTAAGTATATCTTTAAAATCAATTAAACATCACATTCCCTTTTAATGTGCAGATAAAACGTTTCTAACGGTTATAATGTATTATAGGTATAATTGAAAATATTTTAGCTTCTTTTGGTAATTTTATAAATAATCTTTTAATAGGTACAAAAGTGTTAAACAAATGAATTATGTTAGTGTGGGGTGTAATTTTCTCAATTTTTTTGTTTCTTCTTCTTGGGATTCTAAGAATTCACAAGCAAGCAATTGATTTGGGCCGTCATTGGGCCTTAATTTTGTAACCGTTGTTAAAACATAAATGAATTCTCTTTTTGGCCAATTGTTCTACCATTCACAATTTCTTGGACCAATTGTTTTGCAACATATTCTAATAATGTGGGATGCTTACTGAATATGCACTATTATTGATTTTAATGTTTTCATTATTTATTTAGAAAAATATTATTATACATTAAAAAATTAATAATAAAAAATATGTAAAATTATAGATTATACATAAAAATAAATATAAATTATATATTAATTAAATCGGTTCGACCAATTCAACCACTAGTCCGAATCATTGAACCTGTAGTTTAACCAATTCGATGAACGATCGGTTTTCAGAATATTGATAGAGACAATTATAGTCATCTTTCTGTTTATTGTATACCCAAACCCTGAACTTATATTTGTTTGCGGTCCCTGTTATTCGAAACGCCTCTGCTCTCTGCGGCTCACGAATCTTCTGTTTTCCTTCCTATTGGAAGCGTTCGAGACCTCAAGTTTCTGTAATCATGTTAGTCTATCAGGATTTGCTCACAGGTAATTCTTTCCTTTCGACGTAGAGCGAGAATTTCTTCGTACTTTGTTTATGTTAATGGATTTTATTCGTGATTAAATAAATTTTGATTGTGTGGATCGGTTTTGACCGCTCTGTTTCTGAAGCGGAATTACTACATAAATTAGTTTGTTTGAGTTGATTATACGGTTGGTTTCTCTATAAGGTTTAGGTCTTGGATTTGTTTGTTACGTTTACTTGTTTTGTTATTCCTGATGTTTTTGGTTGAAAATTTGAAATTTCTTTTGGAACTCAATTTGACATTTAAAATTCGTTGTTGGAGTTGTCTTGTACTGAGGATATTATCTTCGAAATCCTGTATTGCTGGCGATCTGCACCTGATTAGAGGTCGAAGCATCCATTTTTTTTTTTTTCGTTTCTTTTCGTGATGATCGAATTTTGGATGATGTGTTATTTATTATCTTGGTTCCCTCCAATATTAGCTCTGTGTTTTCTTGCATTTAGCTCAAGCTTTACCCATGTTAATGTGTTTTTTGAATCCCCCTTTGTTGATTAGCTTTGTTGATTCTTTTGTTACATTTGCATTTATATCTTTCATTGTCCTGTGAATTTACCAAACATTGTGGTCAATGTTTATGTTAGTACAATTATTCTAGAAAAGATAATAAAAATCTATAGAATATCTCCTCTTTGTGGAAGACTAGGTGCTGAATTTTGTTAGCTTACATGCTATTGGAAACTTTTATGTTGTGTGCTTTACCTGCGTTTCATGATTTCATTTGTTTCCATATTGTGTTCAAAATTTCACTGTTGTTAAATTTGAAATTCTACTTGCAGGTGATGAACTTCTCTCGGACTCTTTCGCGTACAAGGAAATCGAGAATGGAGCTCTTTGGCAAGTCGAAGGAAAGGTACTAAATAAATAATGGACGCCTCATAATATGTTTGTGATTTTTCTTTTTATCTTTTATTCTATGAATTTATCTTTTCTTCTATGTGAAGTAGTTCACGAGATTTAAATTTTTGATTTTCTTTGTGTTTTTTATTAGTGGGTTGTTAAGGGAGCTTTGGATGTAGACATTGGCGCAAACCCTTCTGCTGAAGGTGGTGAGGAGGATGATGGTGTTGATGACCAAGCCGTTAAAGTTGTTGACATTGTCGACACATTTAGGCTACAGGTTCAGTTGTCTTCAAGTTTTCAATCTACTTATGTGATCATTATTACCATTATTATTTTTTTGTTTCTAATCATTTTGTTTTTAATAGGAGCAACCTCCTTTTGACAAGAAGACGTTTGTCGCGTACATCAAGAAGTACATCAAGTTATTGTCTGCCAAGCTGGAAGGCAAAAAGCAAGAAGAGTTCAAGAAAACCATTGAGGGAGCCACCAAGTTTTTGCTCTCTAAGATCAAAGACCTTCAATTGTAAGAAGAATATCTAAGAATCTTTTTCTATTTCCACTGCATGTTTAGATTTATTATTTACCCAAAAATAAAAAATACAAAAAAATGTTGAAAAACCTTTGGGGTTCAATCTGTGTGGGAGCTGGTATAATAAAACACTGATTTTAGCAATATTTGAATTTCATTGTACTTTGGCCTGGACATTGAGTGTTGCGAATTTTATTAAACCATTCTTTGATGAATTTGTTTGATTGTGTAGTTTTGTGGGGGAGAGCATGCATGATGACAGCACTCTGGTGTTTGCCTACTACAAGGAAGGTGCAGTTGATCCGACTTTCTTGTACTTCGCCCATGGCTTGAAGGAAATCAAGTGTTAAATGTGGCTGGAAATGATTGCTGGTCTGAAACAAGTTCAGCATTTCTTGTAGCCATAGTGTGATATTTCTTGAGACCTTTTGCTTTCGTTGATGATTATATTTTTTGGGTGTCTATTTGGATTTGTAGTTAGGTTTTGACCAGTTTTGATGATTGGTTTGAATTAGCCTCTTGTCCCTTTTTTTATCAAGTCATAACTTTATTAAGATGTTATTCTTGCTGCCAGAATGAACTTTTTCTTGAAGAATATCCTTATTATTTGTTGAAAGCGATAATCCATTATTATTTATTAATTTTATTATCCTATAAACTTATGATCTTTATGTCTTGTTTTTTCGCTTTCCACTTTCTTCTCGAGTGCTTTGTGTAGTTTGAGTTTGAAATCGCACGCAAGTCATTGTTTGAATTTTAATCTGCATTCTTCATTTCAAATCATTTTTCATTAACTTAATGGGAGAAAGCTGTCTCGAGTATTTATGAAAGAAATTTTGATGTTAGATAATAAGTACATCTCCAGCATGGCACGAAAAGAGTTTTCCTAACGAATAAACACCCTTAAAGATCTCCTATTTTGGGCTACTATAACATGAATAAAATATAACAATGACATAAATATGATATCTTTTTAGATGCTTTTATATCGATCTTAAACATTTTTATTCTTCATTGTAAAGTTGTACGGTGATATCAGAATGGTTAATTAATAGCAAACACGTGTTGCACCCTTTTTTTAAAAAAATAAAAATAAAAATAAAAATAAAAAAATTAATAGCAAACACAAATTGAGCAAAACTAGTGTTGACTATATTTCCAGCCACTCTGTCTTTATTAAAAACTAGTGCGCATCCCGTGCGATGCACGGACAAGGTTGTTACTTAAAACTTTTTTTAAAACATTATTTTAAATATTATTATTTATTTTAAAATCTTATTATTGCAAGAAAAAGAATACATAATGTGAAAAAATTTATATTATTTATTTGAATAGAATGAGTCTTCACAATTAGACCAATAACATCTAATACATGGTAAATAATAAATTTTCTTATATGCATCGCCATCTTTAAAAATATATATATACATATATATATATATATATATATATAATAAATATGAGATATTTAAGATACATACGATTAAAATTTATAATTCAAATATGAGATAAAAAATGGCGAACATGTTTTGAAAAGTGTAAAGTCGTATTATTTTCATGCAATTGTTGAATTCAACATCGTTAATTAAATATCATTAAATTTGTTGTATGACGAGATAAATTTTATAGTCAAATATAAACCCCATCAAATTGTAATTATGTTGTGTGATTTCGTCATATCAAATTTTTTTCTTTTCTAATATTAATTCGTATGATATATACTCTTTATTATCTTATTATGATTTGTTTCATTTTCGAATATTTATCACAATTAATTGTTTAATAGTGTGTATAAAAAAAATATCTACCAAGAATCCACATAATATGAGATTCTTTTCAAACTTTAAAAAGATTTTGTAGTTAGATAAATATGGACAAAAAAATCATTAACTAAGTTGAAGAATCCAAAATATAAAATTTATTTTTTGAAATTAACATTATTTTTTAGTTGTGACCATAAAATATGGAATTTGTAGTTAGATAAATGGATAAAAAATATTTAACAATTAAGTTGGCATGACTTTTCGGAAAAAAAAAAAAAAATTTGAAAGTATTCTATTTGGTAAATAATTGACCGAATTTTTTGTAACCAAATTCACATGTTTGACCGAAAAAAATTAAGTAAAAATTGACCAAATATTTTTAAAGCAAAATTTTCACGATTCTTACTAAAAAATCTCATATTTTCATTACTTGAATTTCAAATTCAAATTTAGACACAGATTTTCAAAAATTTTCGAAAAAAGTTGCAATAACAGTAAAATCAAGATTTTTAGGTGTGAATTTACATGTTGTTTTAAGTAAATTCCTATTATGTTTTGGTTCCGGAAAAACTTGTAAGTTTTCTTATTGGTCACACAAGTCAAACCAATTATAGTCTGAAACTCGTAAGCTCAATCACAAGAAATTACTAAATATATAACACAGTTACATTAGAAAATGCTTACTATAGAACTATTATATGCTATAAACACCAAATCACTAATAACTCAAATTAATAGAGAGAAAAATGGGGATTAACCTATAACTCTAGGCCTTCCTCCAGGCACCTTCGGATCTCCGAGACCACCACATGGTCCACCAGTGGGTGCCGCCGCTTGGCGCGCGGGTCTATAAATTGCAGGAACTGGCTAAATGCAATTTCACTATTCTAATTTTGCCTAATAAACTTAGATGTCTTTTACTGCAAAAAAGACCAAAAAAATAAATGTCTTCTCATTTCACCAACTTAACACAAGTTACCCAAGTTTATTACATGGAAAAAAATACATGTTAAACAAAAACTTTCGACTATTATTCCAAAACAAATATAATGAAATTTCAAGATTTCCATAAAAATTCTCTGTCTCATTTTCCTTTTAGAACGTGATCAAAAATTCATGATTTTAGCTTTCCCAAATAAATTTCAATCTCTCTTTTCCCCCAAAAGCAAGGAAATCCAAAGCAATCGTATCCAGGTAATAGATAAAAATCTACAAACATTTACCAGAACATCCACAAACACACACATAAACGAAAATTAATAAGCTTTTACTTTTTACCAATTGCTGACAATTACCTCATCGACGCGAAATCCAATGGCAAATTCGAAGACGGTTTTGATGTAAATGATCGAAAAATCGGGCTCCAACGCATCTAACTCGACGATGGTCGTTAGCAGCGCCGCCCGAGAGTAGACGGTGTCTTCGGCTTCATCGCTGCACTTGAGCCGCTTGCGGAGCAGGTGACCCGGTTGCTCTTCGTCTTCGCTTGCTTCAATAACAAAGATAAAAATGAGAGACAAATAAAATAATGTTTAGCTTTTTAGATAATGATATTATTATATGGAATTCAAGATCCAAAAAATCTGAACGATACTTGATCTTTTGGTAGATTTTCACGTACTAAAACAACCTCATTGTTTCAAAATAATGAAAATGTTAGCCAAATATTTCAAATAAAATTTGAGGGCGAAAAATAAAATTTAAGCGGGAAAATAACAATTCATTTTCGAATTTTTTCCTGATTTTTTCTTAACTGTATTATATAGTAATAGATACGCACGTTTTATCATTGGCTTTGTGTTCATGAAATTAACCACATCTGCCCTCCAATCCGGAGCCACTGTCAATTCAAAAATAAGTGAAAAATATCCTATAAGCCGATCTACCTCAAAGGACTTCTTTTTCCGATCTGCCAGCCTATTGTGAATTTGGAGTATTAATGTAGCTCAGCGTTAAACGAAAGGAACACGAGATAAGTAAATCTCAAAATCTTACGATATATATATATATATATATATATATATATTTTTTTTTACATTAAAAGCAGCGTATGAGGCCTAGAAAACAATATAAATAGAGTTCTAAAAAGTCGAATACCATGATTGGTAGGAAGGAATGACATTGGAATGGAATGATCATTCTCTTACTTATTCCTTATCCCATTATATTTTTTGGGAAGGAATGACCATTCCAATGGAAATGGCAAAACCCATCTCCATGGGATTAACCATTCTATAGCAAATGGAAGGTTTTCTCATTCCCATGTGTGTAGGAATCAATTTTAAAAAAATAAAATTAACAAATAATAATAAAAAATAAATATATAATATATATTATAATCATGATTAAAATATATTAAATAAAATTATTTTAAACAAAAATTTTATTTATTTTTTAATTAGATATATTAAATACTTATATAAAAATAAAACTAAAAAAAGTATTTATATATAATTTAAAAATATATTATTTTATTTTTATATATTATTAAAAATATATTATTTTTTATATATTAAAAATATATTACTTTTAAAAATATATTATTAAAAATATATTATTGAAAAATATTAAAAATATATATTATTAAAAATATATTACTTTATATTTTTAAATATTATTAAAAATATATTATTTTAAAAAATAAAATTCAAATAAAAAATTGAAAACTTACTTTTATTTACTGTTTAATTAAAAAATAAAATAGATATTATTAAAAATATATTACTTTTAAGAATATATTAGTTTTTATATATAATTTAAAGATAAATTATTTTATTTTTATATATTATTAAAAATATATTATTTTTTATATTATTAAACAATATATTATTCTATTTTTATATATTATTCAAAATAAATTATAAAAAATATATTATTTTAATTTTTTATATTATTAAAAAAGCATTTATATATAATTTATTAAAAGTATATTATTTTTTAAAAGAAAGCTTTTATTTATTTTTATAATCAAAAAATAATAATGTCATTCCATTCCAGTCCTATTCCTTCTGCATACCAAACGCATCAATGACAAAACATGTTTCATTCCATTCCCATAATCATTCCATTTTTCAATTCATTTCATTCCTACGAAATTCCATTCCATCATACCAATCATGCCATAAAGACCTATCTTGCTAGACAAGTAAATACCCACTAAAATAATTATTTTCCTACCAACTTAATAATATAAATAAACAAAAATTTTATGGAGCCATCGGATGGTTTTTTTATGTAGTCATCCCCTATTTAATGTATTGACATTTACCTAAAGTGTATTTATTTTAGGACACGTGTCAATACACTACTAGTGAATAAGTGTTGATGACTCAATAAGTTGAGTCATCCAATGGTTTCATGGCAAAACTGTATAAATAAAGGAAATAATAATAACTATAGAAATAAATAATAAAGCTACTAAATAATTAAACTAAAACCGGGATTCGATCGTAGTTGTCTAGAAAGGCAAGCACAATCTCATCTCCATCAAGTATCCATGGTGCCTATTTAAAAAAAACATGTAGAAGCTTGCCGCTCAACTGAAAAGTAAATGTCTCATCCTTCAAAAGCATGTAGTCAGGGGCAGAGCTAGGATTTTAAATTACCTGGGCTAATGAAATGGCGATCTCCGACGTATGCTCTTTCGGCTTAAAGAACAAATTGATAGTTTTCTTTTCTTCGTACATTGACCCTCCATTATGATTGAAACCTATCAAGTTAATGAAAAATAGTCAATTAATCAAGCATTTAGATGATATAAGCAAACTAAAAAATACAAATATATATATATATATATATATATATACACAAAGGTAATCAAGAACAATTTGTGGGCTTTTGTACACAGTCTTATTA